AACAGTTGGATAGCGATTTCACATTCAAATTCACATTCAACAAGTTAGCAAATTCGCTAGCGAGTTTTCAAATTGGCTGCCCCAATACTTATGAATGAGACTTGCTGTAAAGGTTTCTATATTGAGCCATTGAAAAGTTCATTTCTCACTTTTTGGCGTACAATTAGACAGAGTTTATTGTATTGTAATTATTTAAAGAATTAATTCTGTCCTGTATATTTGTATCTGTATTAATAATAGAATAAATATACTCTCTATAGATTGCAATAAATTTTGTAAGCTGTGATTATCAAAAGTATAATATATTTTATCTTGTAACGTTGACAACCAATTGGATACAGTTTGTTATATCTTGTTGGTACCTGGTAAGTTGGTGTAAATCAGACGAATTAAATTGGAATGAGTCAACTTGTGGGCCAAATTGATTTGGAGACGAATAAATTGGTGGGACATCATGTGGTTGGTTGTTAAAGTCAATACATGAATGTCTATAGGACTATGTCAGTGCTATTTCCTGACACAGAGTAGTATCTTTGCTCAAACAGTTTGATAATGTAATGCAAGCATATATATCATTAAATTTAATCCATGCTCAAAAATCCCAGTGCAGGCTGATGGATAGAAAAAAAAAAAGTATTGTTGGGGTTATATAATTATACTTAGATGGGTTCTACATGAGCTGAGAAAATGATCCTAATTTGACTGAAAGCAATTTTCAAACCTCGTTTTTGATAGTTTTCAGCAAACTGGAAGGTAATTTGTGGAGAATGCAGACTAACTCGCCACAGTTAACAAAACTGATTGGCCGTCTGTCTTCTGGTTTATCAATTACCAACACAATTTCTCACTTGTTCCTTACTGGAATTTGCTGCTGTTCTTTGTCCAAGTGATAAATCTAGATACAGAAAAGGTAAATACCGATTACTAGTAATGAAATATCTTTGGATTGAGAGCCTAGAATAATTTTTGGTATAACAAAATCAAAATGACACATTTTATCATGTGTGTGAGGCTCTCAGCAAAGTGCTTATGACTTTATTATCGACGATTCAGACATTACGTGTTCCGTTGTGTATACGGGGCCAGGGGGTAGCTTGTACAGGAAATAAAAAAAGGTATTTTACGTATTTACAGGCAATAAAAAGTTCCATTTACAGTAAAAAAAAAAAACGGTTTAAAGCAAATTCCTAATTAACAGTCTTGTAATATATTTGATAATTTGTGACGGACTTCAAAAGAGAAATTACAAGTTGGAAATTGCCTACGAATTACGACACTTAATGTGGAAAATGCTTTATACGCTTACAAAAAATAAGTTTTTTTTGTACAAATTACAGATGAATAAAATACCATTATGCATTATTACATTTTGCACCTTGCCCATGTCTACGAAATTGTGTTTTATTCATTTACATTTCATAATTGCGAAAATAAAAACTATTGATTACAGGTTACGAAAATACCCTTTGCTGACCCTCAATACGTTCATACTGCAACGCTCTCAAAAACAATATTTGCTTTGTTAATGGACAACTACAGTTAACGGTTATATCGACGATTAGAAGCGCTTCGTCGCTAGGATGAAGGGCGCGACATGTATGATAATTGAATTTTGAAGAGCTCAACCAGAGAGTTCTACGTAACAGTGACAAAC